GTTGTATAGTTCTACATTCATTCCTATGGACTTACTTCTAAGGGTATACTTCAAAAACTTGCCATGGGACCCCAAATCCCATTAAGCTGGGTGGTAAAAATGCCTTCATATATTTATTTCATTTCCTTTGGGTAAATTCCTAGGAGTAGGGTGACTGGGTCCTATGGTAGATCTACATTCAGATTTCTGAGGTATCTCCATAGCGTCTTTTTTTTTTTTTTTTTTTTTTTTTTTTTTGACAGGCAGAGTGGACAGTGAGAGAGAGAGAGACAGAGAGAGAAAGGTCTTCCTTTGCCGTTGGATCACCCTCCAATGGCCGCCGCTGCAGCCGGCGCACCGCGCTGATCCGATGGCAGGAGCCAGGAGCCAGGTGCTTTTCCTGGTCTCCCATGGGGTGCAGGGCCCAAGCACCTGGGCCATCCTCCACTGCACTCCCTGGCCATAGCAGAGAGCTGGCCTGGAAGAGGTGCAACCGGGACAGAATCCGGTGCCCCGACCGGGACTAGAACCCGGTGTGCCGGCGCCGCAAGGTGGAGGATTAGCCTATTGAGCCACGGCGCCGGCCACCATAGCGTCTTCAACACTGGCTGCAGCAGTTTACATTCCCACCAACAGTGGATTAGGGTACCATTTTCCCTACATCCTTGCCAGCATTTGTTGTTTGTTGATTTCCGTATGAAAGCCATTCTAACTGGGGTAAGGTAAAACTCATTGTGGTTTTGATTTGCATTTCCCTGATGGCTAGTGATCCTGAGCATTTTTTCATTTGTCTGTTGGCCATTTGAATTTCTTCTCTTGAAAAATGTCTATTCAAGCCTTTTGCCCATTTTTTACTGGATTTTTTGTTTAGTTGATGTGGAATTTCTTGATCTCTTTATAGATTCTGGATATTAATCCTTTATCAGTTGCATAGTTTGCAAATGATTTCTCCCATTCTGCCAGTTGCCTCTTCACTTTGCGTAGTGTTTCTTTTGCAATGCAGGAGCTTTTCAGTTTGATGTAATCTCATTTGTCCATTTTAGCTTTGATTTCCTGTGCTTCTGGGGTCTTTTCCAAGAAGTCTTTGCCTATGTCAATGTCTTGCAGGTTTTCCCCGTGTTCTCTAGTACTTTGATGCTATCAGGTCATAAAGTTAGTTTTCTGATCCATTTTGAGTTAAGTTTTGTGTGAGGTGTAAAGAAGGGGCTTTGTTTCATAATTCTGCATCCAGAAACCCAGTTTTTCCAGCACCATTTGTAAAGTGATTGTCCTTGCTCCAGGGGTTGATTTTAGCTCTCTTGTCAAAGATAATTTGGTTGTGGATGTGTGGATTGATTTCTGGTGTTTCTATTCTGTTCCATTAATCTACCTATCTGTTCTTTTTTTGTTTTGTTTTGTTTTGTTTTGTTTGTTTTCATTTAATTTTGCCAGTACCAGGCTGTTTTGATAATAACTGTCCTGTAGTATGTTTTGAAATCTGATATTGTGATGCCTCTGGCTTTGTTTTTGTTTTATAAGATTGCTTTTGCTATTTGAGGTCTCTTGTGTTTCCATGTGAATTTCTGCCTCATTTTTTCTAGATCTGAAAAGAATGTCCTTGGTATTTTGATTGGAATGACATTGAATCTGTAAATTGCTTTGGGCAGTATGGACATTTTGATGATATTGATTCTTCCAATCCATGAACATGGAAGAGTTTTCCATTTCTTTTGTGCCATCTTCTATTTCTATCTTTAAAGATGAAATAAGCAAAACTCTCCAATCCATAAATTATCTAACAATTTCCAAAACAAAGTCTTAGATTATAGTCATGTGTCACATAACAATGTTTCAGTAAGCAGTTGACTGTGCATATCGTGGTAGTCCTATAAGATTATAATATAAGGGTGGATGTATGCTGCTTGGGATGCTGCTTGGGATGCCTACATCCCATATTGGAGTGCCTGGGTTTGAATCCTGACTGTGCTTTCTGTCCAGCTTCTTGCTAAAGTGTACCCTGGAAGGCAGCACATGTTGGCTCAAGTATGTGGGTCCCTGCTATCCATGTGTGGGAGAACCAGATTGAGTTTCCTATCCTTGGCTTTAGCTTGGTCTAGTCCCTGTTTGCAGTATTTGGGGAGTGAACTAGTGGATGAGAGTTCTCTGTCTCCCTCTCTTTCTCACTATCTCTTTGCCTTTCAAATCAATTTTTTTAAAAGTGACTTATAAAATGTACAGTGAATACATAAACCAGTAATATTGTCATTTATTATCAAGTATTATGTACTGTATGTAATTATATGTGTTGAACTTTTATACAACTGGCAAAGCTGAGGCTTATTTACCTCCTCATAACCATAAACATCAACTAGTACATTGCACTAGAATACAATGGCTAGGACATTGCTAAGTGCTATGATTTGAACAGGATTTTGTTGCCAACATGTTAAGGGAAATTTTCATTTCCCCAAAGGAGACTGAGTTGATAAATCATTGATCATGAGAATTACTTTAAATTCTCCAACTAAGTATACTAAAAAATCAACAGGACAGTAGTTAATTCTAATCTTATCAAATTACAATTCCCATTAGATTACCCATCTTTCTTTCAACATCTTTGTTTTTTTTTTTTTTAAAGATTTTATTTATTTATTTGAGAGTTAGAGTTACAGACAGTGAGAGGGGGAGACAGAGAGAAAAATCTTCCGTCCATTGGTTCACTCCCCAAATGGCCGCTATGGCCGGAGCAGCACAGATCTGAAGCCATGGGCCAGGAGCTTCTTCCGGGTCTCCCATGTGGGTGCAGGGGCCCAAGGAATTGGGCCATCTTCTACTGCTTTCCCAGGCCATAGAAGAGAGCTAGATTGGAAGAGGAGCAGCCAGGACTCAAACCGGAACCCATATGGGATGCTGGCGCTGCAGGTGGAAGATTAACCTAGTGCGCCACAGTGCTGGCCCCACCATCTTTGTTCTATAATAAAATCTTATCTGCAAAATTTCTATTGTGCTCATTGTGCAAAACTGCTGAGTTCTGTCGTGCACCTTCCTCCAACCTTCCTTTTTTTCTTTTTCTTTCTTTCTTTCTTTTTTTTTTTTTAATTTGACAGATAGAAAGTGAGAGAGAGAGAGACAAAGAGAGAAAGGTCTTCCTTCTGTTGGTTCACCCCCCGCCCCCAAATGGTGGCTACAGCCAGAGCTACGCCGATCCGATGCCAGGAGCCAGGTGCCTCCTCCTGGTCTCCCATGCAGGTGCAGGGGCCCAAGCACTTGGGCCATCCTCCACTGCCTTCCCGGGACACAACAGAGAGCTGGACTGGAGAGGAACAACAGGGACTAGAACCTGGTGCCCATATAAGATGCTGGCGCCGCAAGCGGAGGATTAACCAAGTGAGCCATGGTGCTGGCCCATCTTTTTTTTTTTTTTTTTTTTTTTTTTTTTTTTTTTTTTTTAAGATTTATTTGCTTATTTGTAAGGCAGAGTTACAGAGACTGAGAGAGAGAGGTTTTCCATCTGCTGGTTCACTCCCCAAATGGCCACAATGGCCGGAGCTGGGCTGATCCTAAGCCAGGAGCCAGGAGTTTCCTCCAGGTCTCCCACACAGATTCAGGGGTCCAAGGATGTGGGCTATCTTCCACTGCTTTCCCAAGCCAGCAGAGAGCTGGGTCAGAAGTGGAGCATCTGGGACTTGAACCAGCACCCATATGGGATGCCGGCATGGCAGCAGCTTTAACCACTACATCACAGTGCCGGCCCCTAGCCTTCCTGTTGAATGACTTCAGGAACCTTCTCTGAGATTCTCTTCTGATTCCCTGATGGGTGTGAAAAGCACACTCTGCCAGGGTAGTGGGATGGTGGGATGTGAGGGTATAGAAGTTCTACCCTCAGCAAAATGTCTTCATCTTCTGCCCACTGCCATGTGACTTGCCCTCAAATTCCACATACTTTTATATCTACTTGGGTTGTTAACCCTCATGACCCCCAGTGCCAGCCCTGTGCCTGTCCCAAGCCAGGAGCCTTGTCTTCGTTTGCTTCTCTCAATAACCCTACTGAAGAAATATCTTTTATATGCATGAGGAAATCAAGGCCCAGAGAAGGCACTGTGTTGCTTAGCTGTGTGCCATCAGGGTTTCTCATCCAAACCCTTTGTCTACACTACTGTTCTTTATAAATTAGTGTACCTGTGGTAACCTGGCAGAAAGCAGGACCTGGAGGAAGTGGACCAAAATCCACTATGTGTCAAGTAGGCCATGGGACTGAGGAAATAAAGCAGCTATGGGCATCTGGGGATGGAAATCAAGGCAGTCACCAAAGTAAAGCAGTGGTGAGATACTGAAAGAAGCTGGGGAGACAAAAATTTTCAAGTTTCACATTTCCCTCTGAATGCTAGACCAAGTTGGAACCTGATTAGTAGCAGACAGTAGGCAGCCAGGCCAGTTTTCAGGACAAAGAAATTGTTGTGGGAAGACTCTGTATTTCCCCTGATGGAACAGTCTCTTTCCAAACAGAGCATCTTTTCTTCCATGTGCTCTGTAGAATGACATGTGCTTTTCTGCATAAGGATTGGTTTGCCACAATCCTCTCCGTTTCCTTCTATTTTTCTCTCCATGTGATGTAACACTCCCTTTTGCTTTACTCTATCCAAATATATCAAAGAAGCCAAGCCAAATGCTTCCAGTTCTCTGGAGTAAGGTAGCTCAGGTGTGTACAGAGCTCCCCGAGGTGCGAGAGGGTAAGATCAGATTCAAGCAAGGCTGGGTTGCACACAGTACTTCCAGATAGCGAGACAGTACCCCTTGTTCCTACACTCCCAACAGATATTATGTCCTCATGACTGGAAGTGTGTATGGGGGGGAGTCTTCTGACTGGTCTCCATCTATTGTTTTTCTGAGTACCAGTTCAGCATGATCTAGACCAGGATCATTTGTCTGCAAGGTTAGAGGGGAAACTGAACCTAGCTCCAGTAAAGAAGCATTTCTTGAGGGTATATCCTGAAACCTGTTTGTAGAAAGTATGCATGCATGAGGGTCTCCAGGGAGCTTACCCTGTCACAGGTTGTCTTCCACACTGAAGTCAGAACTACTCTGCTGCTTGCCAGGACTGTTGCAGTAACGTGTCCTTATTGACTGCGGTGCTGTAAGAGCTAACAACGACTCGAGTTTATTGAAAAGCAATGTTCCCTACAGCCAAACTGTTGCAAGTGGTTTTAAAGGATGCTGTAAAAGACAGGCAATAAAAGTCACGTTCATCGGCATTCATTTAAAAAAAATGAAGCTAATCCATGCTGTAAAACTTTTTCATGCAAGTACAGGACTGAAGGTTGTTCTTTCATGACTGGACAATCAAGTAGATAATGACACCATTCTAGAATTCCAAGGGGTTGGAACTATTGTTGGCGGTGGTCCAAGAATTCATCCTCCCACGAGACAAATAGCCTGGAGCCAGCATACCTCATAATTCATTCTCCTCTATTCCCTCTGTTTTTCTCCTCATCCTTATAACATCTCAGATTAACAAGGGGAATATGGTGTATAAGTTATTTCTTCTCAGCCTTTTAATATCCAGAGAGATATATCTGAGATACATGGCAACCTGTGAGGGTTGGAGATACTTCTCTGGTTCTTATACTTTGAAAGTTTTAAAGTTTCCTCTTCATCCTTGTATCATATGTTTGACCCGAGGCTAGACCATGGAACAGCAGACTAAGATGGCAAACCAGTGAGCTGTAGGGTGCCACAGAAGGACACTGGAGAATGTTGAATCTAAAGAAATCTAGAATGAGAGATTGAGATCAGGAAACTGTAAACCACATAATGGATTCATTTAAAAGGAATAAAAATATAAAATGGAGTATATGGGGAGGGGGAAGGAGAAGTGGTAGTGGCTCTTGTTCTTTACTAATTGCAGGTTTGTCATTACTCTTGCTCTAATTATGTCCCTATTGTACTATCCATGCAAATATTGTAACTTCTAGAGGGTGGAGCTTTGTGAATCATGCCCAGTTCTCAAAGTGTTTGGTCAAGATGACTTTGGGAGCAGCCAGGATTGGGCAGTGCTGTTGGCATTGAAAGGCTAAGAGATATCTTTGGTTGTATTAGGTGAAGAATATATAGGGACACCCAGATATGGAAGCAATTTTCCTCAAAAAGGATGATACATTTGATTATGACAAATATTTGGGAGGATCCCTCTACCCATGACACCTGGCGGGTGGTTAGGACATGCTTCAATTAGTCCTGTTATTCCATGGCCCCACAACCAGGACCCTTTGGTTTTAAGGCAAGAGTAGGACCATAAGTCTCATTCCATTTGTGAATGAGCCCAGAGAATTGCCTGGGGAGAGAAAGATACCACTTTTAATCCCCTCCCCCATCCCTGGCAAAGAGGCCCAGAAGTCCCATTAATGTCTCAATAGTTTGGTCTACTTGAGGTGTGTGAAGTCCTGTGTGTGTGCTTTTATTTTAATTGATGAATTGATGATTGCTGGGCATTGAGAGATATAAACATGGAAATAATATAATTGTAACCTTTAAAATGCTTAGGGTTTAATGGGGGAGATAGATAAATATTTATGATATTGTATAAGGACAACCATAAACCAAGAACAAGATATAAGAAATCATCTGGACTTTGTGTTGGACATAATGTCTTTGGCAGGCCCTTTACCTGGAGGCAAATATGGGATCAATTCTAGCTCCAGCTATTCTAAAAGAGACCTGAGTCTAAAGATCACAGATTACCTCATATCTGGAGCCATGCCCGCTGTCTGAAATTTCCCAGTAGCTACAAAGCTATTGTTCTGGTCCCTACAGGCCCATTAATTATTATCCATTCCAAATGACTACTCTTAGAGCAGATCCTTGACAGGTTATGTCAGGAACATTACAGGGTGTATTTGTCCCAGTGATCTTTGAGGCAGACCTGTTCCCAGTGCTGCTGGAAGATAGGCACCTTTGCGTGCTTGTTTCTATCACACTCCCTCCTGCAACTCTGTCCCCCAGGACTTGGTTGAAGAGCTCAGAAGACAAGAAGCCAGCAAAAGGAAAACTCGGAGCTCAAGACTTGGGTACTCAGTGCCCAGCACATCATAATTGTGGTCATTTAGTAGCAGCACATGAGAATAGATGACCCTTGTTATGGGAGACTGCTGTTATGCTGGATAAATATGCTACCTTTTGAGTACCAGTAGTTCTTTTTATGTTTGTATTTGGGGAAAACCAATGATTGCATTGTAAAATTAGAAAAGTAGTTTTCTGTTAAGATGGAAAAAAAGCTTGTGAAGGTTTAGAGATCACTCATCTATTAGCAAAACTGCATTCCAGTGGTTTAAACACAAGGCCAATAAATACTATAGATGTTATTACATTCTCATTTCATTTAGAAGGCCATCCCGGAAGTTATTTTTTGCTACTTGAAAATAAGACTTCAGGAATATTCAAGAGATACAAGATAAGAATAATGTTTCAGCAACCTGAAGATGTATCCTGTTCTTAGAAGCAGATGCTTGATTCCAGAAACTCTCTGTGCATGGTGCAGCTTTGAAGAAGTACAATCAATGGTCAGACTTTGATAAAATAAAGCTAACGTGTAGTAGGTGTTTTTTGCTGTCAGCCACACTTTAAGTGCTGTAATATACTCATTAGTTCGTTTCATAGGACAGAAAGGATTAGCAGGCCCTTTAGGATCTGGAATGTTCCAAGACACGATAACCTCGAAACTGTCAGGGAAAGACAGATTCAGCAAAAAGGGAAGAGCCAACATATTACGCAGATGTCCCTGAGGCTTAGTGGTAGAGACTGGACATTTGTGCCCTTAGGGGAAAAATAATGAGGTCAGAGCAGACTGGGATAGATCAGGTCTGGCACTTTTGCTGCAGAGCCCAGAATCAAAGATGATCTGATGGGAAGCCAGGCAGACAGTTCAACTAAGGCATTCAGCCACAGAGGCTGGCCAGAAAAGCACAGTTTGGGTGGGGAACATGGGCACACTAGATCAGAGCATGTGGATTGGGATAAGGGTTAGATGCAGGAGCTTGGAGAGCAGCCTTGGCCCCTGGGACCTGGGCACTGGTGTCTGGGATGCTGTAATAGGACCTCGTGGAGGGTATGACGGTCTCCAGCAGTATTTGGGGAAACACTCCCATGGTTTAGTATACCAGGCAAAGAAGGGGGAAAATTACAAGAACGCAATACCAGGGAGAAGTTGTACAACATCTCATCACCCCATCAAAAAATAGTTGCGAACAGTAGTAAGCAGAGGATTTTTATCCCCTGCTTTAAGCCGTATAGAAATCTGTATTAGACTAATTCACGCCCTTGTTTTCTATTAGTTCTGGGACTCTGATTCTCAATAGTACTGAGTTTTGGCATCCCTTCTCTTATGATTACTAGGGATTTTGGTTGTTTAAACTTTGCTTGGCTTTAACCAGTAGGCACTAATGCAAACTTTTATCACTAAGCTCAGATTTGTCAAATAAATGGTGATGTCAAGGGATTCATTGCAAGTTACCACCTGTAATCCATGTTAAAGGTATTGGTGCTTTGCAGTGTTTCTTAGTTTCTGATTCCCTGTGTAATTACCTAAATAAAGCACTAGCCAACTTTTCCCATTAGGGGCCAGACAATAAATATTTCAGGCCTTGTGAGCAACATTTAACTCTATAATCCTAGTCAGAAATGGATGTAGACAACAAAACGTATATGTGGCTGTGCACCAAAATTTTTTTTTTCACAAAACAGATGGCAAATTTGCTACATAGGCCTTATTTGCTGACTCATGCTATAAATAAGTAGACAAACATAAAAAAATCAAGTTCATTTATTTTTCAGTTTTTTCTTTTAATTGTCCTTAAAGGTGAGGGAAAGGGGGAACCATTTTGCTTGCATAGAGCTGCGAGTCCCTCCCATTTCTCCTTGTCTTTTTTGTGATTTGGAAGCTAACTGTCATAAAACAAACTTCCTTCTTCATTTTAAGATATAGAAAGAGCTGGAACATCCTATGCTGGGTTTTTTGTTTTTTGTTTTTTTTTTTTTTTTTTTGATGGAGATCCCATTTGCTACTCTTTTACTTTCATCTAGAGAAGCTCTTGGCACACAACAGGTCTGGGGTAAGAGTTTAGTAACTTCCCCTGGATGGCCTCTATCTTTTCTTCCTCTCATTTCCTTGTCAGTAGCAGCCAATGAGAGGCTTAATAATTTTACCATCTTCAGGGTAACTCAGACCTATAAAGAATTAATAGTCTTAAAGACAAGGCAAAAATCACTTCTAAAATCTAGAAAAACACCAACATATAACCTGAGTGAAAAATTGCTAAAAGAGAACCATCCTACCCAAAAAATCAAGTCCAAAGGTTTAGCATGTTTTCCTTCCTTATCTTAGGAATGAAGATGCTCAGGCCAATGAGCAGAGCTTGACCACCTCTAAATTCTCTTTAGTAGCTAGCAAATCTGTTATTGGTTGAATCATGTTCCCCTTAAAGTCTGGTTGAAATCCTAGTACCTATGAATGTAAACTTATTTGGAAATAGAATCTTTGCAGATGTCATGAAGCTAAATTGAGGTCATTTACCTGTGTTATGGCTTAGATATGATTTGAGTGTTTCCCTCAAAGGTTCATGTGCTGGAAGCATGGTCCCCAGTATAGTGTGGTTGGCAAGTGGTGTAACTTAAGAAGTGGGGGCTAATGGGAGGTAATTAGGTCATTGGAGGCATTGCCGTCAGAAGAGATTAATGCTGGTCTCAAAGAGTGAACGAGTTCCTGCCAGAGTGGGTTGTTATAAAAGGATTGAGGCTGGCCCCTGAATCTCTCTGGCTTCCTGTCTTGCTGTGTGATCTCTCCCTCTACTTGTGTTCCCACCATGAGGACATAGATTGTGTTGTGATGTAGCCACAAAGCCTTCACCAAAGCCAAGCAGAAGCTGATATCATGCCCTTGAACTCCAGAACTGTGAGTTAAATTGACCTCTCTTCTTTAAAAAGTACCCAATATCAAGTATTTTGTTATAGCCACAGGAAACAGACTAATCCAAAGTTGAGCCTAAATCCAATATACTTAAAAGAAGAGGTAAATTTGGATGCAAACACACAGACACAGGAGAATTCCATTTGAGGGCATAAAGACAATCAGGGAGGGGCTGGCGCCATGGTGCAGTAAGTTAATCTTCCGCCTGTGGCACCAGCATCCCATATGGGCACTGGTTCTAGTCCTGGTTCCTCCTCTTCCAATCCAGCTCTTTGCTGTGGCCTGGGGAAGCAGTAGAAGATGGTCCAAGTGCTTGGGCCCTTGCACCTACATGGGAGACCAGGAAGAAGCACCTGGCTCCTGGCTTCAGACTGACATAGCTTCAGCTATTTGGAGAGTTCAGCCAACTATCGGCATAGTTGCAGCCATTTGGGGAGTGATCAAATGGAAGGAAGACCTTTCTCTCTATCTCTTCTTCTTACTGTCTGTAACTCGACCTCTCAATTAAATAAATAAAATCTTTAAAAAAAAAAGACAATTGGGGAGAAGATGGCCATTTGACAATAGGGCTGGTGATTGCAGTGATGCACATACAAGCTAAGGATTGCCGAGGATGGCTGGTAACTTCTAGAAGCTGGGAGAAAGTCATGAAATAGACTCTCCTGGAAACTCCAGAAGGAACCAGCCCTGCCAGCACCTTGATATTGGATTTCAAAATCCCAGAATTATGAGAGAATACATTTCCCTTGTTTTAAACCTCCTGATTTGTGGCTATG